TCAGGAACTAAATGTCCGCGCGACCAAATGTGGCCGACGAAGTGTCCCGCGACTAGATTTTATGCGACGACTTGGTCGGTCACGATTCTGATTAGCTTCAGACTCATCTTCCGCAGGACACCCTTATTATAATTACCACCACTATTACCTACCACTATTACCTGTCTAAAATGCTCTTCTACGATGGTGACCCGTCATTTTTTCGACGGAAATTAATTAAATACCTATATACGATAACTAGGGGATAGCCGTTATTGCTTTGCTTTTGCAGGTCGGGGGGGAGGGGTGCTGGATTGGCCAGTTCTTTAGTCTTTAAACCTGGAGAAGATAGAATTTATAATTGAATCAACAGTAAAAAGTGATCAAACCCAGGTTCGGTATTATCGGGCTCATTTTCCTGAGTTTTTTCAAGGATTTGCGAAAAATGCGCTGTTTCTGATGCTGGAACATCTGCGGTGAGCCCAAAAATTTGGTTATGAAAATATGGCTGTAACCCCAAACTAGCTATAGGACCGGTTGGCAAGGCCCGTAAAGCTGGTTGGCATAATGGCACCTTTATTAGGTATCGGATATCGGATACAAACTCAGTACCAGAAACAAAATAATTACTATAACAGAAACACTTTCTCTATGCTATCCTGATCGGGGATCGCACCCATTATACAAATCGCGTTTCCCCGTTGTATTTGGATAGAAAATCGCTGCTTAAATAACTCTTTCGCTCGTTTCTGACCAGTGGAAGTCGCTATACCGCTTCCAACCTTCTCCACGAGCCTTTTGGTCCCGTTTCCCCAAGGTCCGTAGATTTCGAAGGCTGCAGCGACAAAATGGTACCGTGGTTGTCCCCAGGCGTGTTCGTTAATTTCCCCCTTTTCGCGATTTCGGCCGCTGCGCCGACGTTCACAGAGGTGCGGTCGATGTACTTGGCCGCTAGCATGTCCACGCAGATAACTTTCACGGCCAGCGGCTTTCCACGCGACCACGGTACAAGGTGGTCACATCCGGCCTTTTCTTATCATTCACAGACAGGCCTTTTGGTTCCATTCTCGTTGGAAGCCCTGCCGTTTTCAGCCCACGGGTAATCTCCTCGCTTATACCGTAGTGTCGTGGCAGTCTTCCGGCTGACCGCTTACATCAGAGCCCGTGCCGGCCCAAGGTGTCCACCAAGCCGCCACAAACACACGTGAGGGGTAGCGACTGGTGCTCCCAGACGTAGCGCGACGCTAATACGGAAGGCGTAGTTTTCTAAAAGATTACCGAGACATGCTGCCGGCAATGCATGAACCCAGTACATGATCCCACATGCGTGAAAATGGGCGACAACGCTTCAGCAGTCCCATTTACTGCACACAGATATTGTCTAGAAAAACGGAAGAAAATTCCAGACTGTAACCTGCGGATTCTTTCGGAAGTATCGTTTTAATACAAGCGAAACTGACATTGCTACACAGTGTACAACAAAAATATAAATTACATTACACAACATCCTACCACTATCTTGGTTCCCAACGAACTCCGCTGCCTGCGCACCATTCGTGTCCTTTCGAACACCGGTAACATTTACCGGCGTTTGGCCGGTTTTAATTGTGAACCAGAGGAGCTTTCTCATTTTCCTCCTATGGTGACGGGTAAAAATGCAAGCGTGCCTTTGGCGCTCAACGAGACTGTATCCTCAATCCAGTAGCACCGATGGGGAACAGGTCGTAAATTCTATAAAGGCTTGTTCTCCAAAAATAGTGTCTGATCACAAATACTTTTGCTGTATTCCTTTCAATTTCCTGCGACATTAGTAAAATTTTTAGCTGATAGTGCCTTCTCATAATGAAAAATGTAAAATATTAAAACGATGCTCTTAAAGCATCTCAACTCGAATTGCTTACTCAGCGCTTCGAGGGAGCTTACGACTGTTCAGGTTGGAAAAGGATGTAAGGTCACGAAGCAGCAATGATTACGATTACCAGAATCGAGAAACACCAGTTCACTGTGCGGCCAGATCGCAGGCCTAACTTTATTAGTACGTCCCGTACGAACGGACGAAAGTCCAAAACTAAAATCAGATTTAGAAACAAAATGGGCATCTTCCGATAAATGTGTCTAATCATTGCTACGCACATGGTGAGCTGGTCAGAACAGGTAGTCACACATGGTGAACCGCTTAGAGAACATTCATACGCTTTAATATTCATAATGTAAAAATGTAAAATATTCATGTAAAATTTTCAGCTGATTTCGATTGTACCGGAGCCTACAATCTGGTTAAATTTGTGCGAGATATCTTTGACAGGTCGAGGCAATCTGATATGCATAAGCGAAATCATACCGGCCAGCTAAAAGTGGAATTCAAGCTGCTCTACGGATTTTTTATCCAAAATTTACGAGGTATAAGAGCATGCCTGCTTATAAATGCATTTTAATTTGGGTGACCGCTCCGTACACACCGTTTTGCACCACCTTTCATTCCGTGCACGACCTTTTTGCGCTACCTTTCGCTCCGTGCACAACCTTTTCGAGAACTACCTTTGACTCCGTACACAACCATTCGGCACAATCTTTAACTGTGTGCACACACCTTTTAATTTTTTACTCGTCATCGTCTTCATCAATGGATGCTACTTCTTTCAGATACTGAACTGGCCCTCTCATTGCCATTTCTGTCTGTAAATTTTTCCTTAACCAATGCGTCAAGAAACTTCTGCGCCCAACGGTGGCTTGCCGGACTCTTGCATTCTCAACGCTGTAGCTGTTGTCTTGCCATGCTTCAACCAGATAGTGTATCGAGCCGATGGTAGTGTTAAAGGTAGTCTAGCGAAAGAAAAGTAGTGCCCGAAAAGGTTGTGCACGGAATGAAAGGGAGTGCAAAAGGTTGTACGGTGTAAAAGGTAGCGAAAGGGTGTGTACGGAGTGGTCACCTTTAATTTATGCTGGAAGCATTTGCTGTAGCCCATTAAGTTACAAAATTTACAAAAATATGCTTGCTAATAAAGGCATTTTAATGTATGCTAGAATGAATCAGTCAAGCTTATCTATCTATCTATCTATCTATCTATCTATCTATCTATCTATCTATCTATCTATCTATCTATCTATCTATCTATCTATCTATCTATCTATCATCTATCTATCTATCTATCTATCTATCTATCATCTATCTATCTATCTATCTATCTATCTATCTATCTGTCTATCTATCTGTCTATCTATCTATCTATCTATCTATCTGTCTATCTATCTATCTATCTATCTATCTATCTATCTATCTATCTATCTATCTATCTATCTATCTATCTATCTATCTATCTATCTATCTATCTATCTATCTATCTATCTATCTATCTATCTATCTATCTATCTATCTATCTATCTATCTATCTATCTATCTATCTATCTATCTATATCTATCTATCTATCTATCTATCTATCTATCTATCTATCTATCTATCTATCTATCTATCTAAAAGAATAAGAAAGTGCTCAAAAACCGTGTGTGTCAGGGTCTAAGCCCATGATCCACTGGGCCAAACTTAACATCTAGGTATCATTCGATAGCCCTTGATGTGTAGATTTGTACAAAACAATCAGATTCGGCAAAAACAAAATAAATTTTGAGAGAATTGAAAAAAACTTAACATACAAAACCTACGGGAAATTCACAAACGACGAAAACCCGTTGTTCAGGTAGCCGCCGAGTTAAGCGGTGCTGGCTCGCTAACGTAACTCTCTGACTGTGGGTGTGCTTTAATTACGAGATCTCACCTATGATTTTGAAATTCCCAGCATTACACACTATGCATTCATGTCTCCAGGTGGAGGTTCTGCTAGGAATTTTTGAACTATGTAACCGCTGGTAAAGTCTGTATTATAATAGGTCGGCTTAGGAAGCGTTTGACTGCCCAACTTCACTCGCGTAGTAGACGGCAGAGAACGCGCAATGAGACTTCCAGCGCACGAACGAATCGTCAGGAAGCCAACAGGTCTCGAGCCCGAAGGTAACTCTATTGATGCGTTCTGCTGATTCCTGCGAAGCCATCAGCCATGTACCTTTATTGCAGACGAAGATCAACCATCGGTATCCCTCTTACGGTTGTTACTGCTGGGTCTACTATCCCTACGCATACAGATTCGATTTCAGTTAAGTATGTGAGACTTTTAAAATTACATATGACATAACTGGATGTGTGTGAATTGCTTTTGCAATTAATCCGCGAATAACAGAATTTACCGACATTATGAACATTTTGTTTATTGGTTATTTAGTTGCAATAACGATATTGTGGAAACCTTCAGTGTATTGAGCATGGTCGATGATCTTCCCGTTGCTACCCAGGAACCTGTTGCGCATGAAGAAGTGGTAGTCCGGAATGGGCAGCAGGCTGCTCTTTCTCCCTTGAGAGCAGCACGTAGTTTTACAGCTGAGTCTGCAGTACCCGTGCATTCCCTCGGCACCATGGACATGTTATTTCCGTTCTGTGATGCGCGTAGTTTCCATACTGAAAAGAATTTTAAATGCTGTTATAAGGGAAAGGTGAATTTGATTGAACTGAGTGTTCCCAATGGACTAATTGAACTGTTAACTGGCCGGAATGCGGAATCGGAAAACTACCGTGAGCACATCAGAAATTTTAACAGTGCTAATGCGTTTGCTTCGGTCGGTGCAAATGTTTCTGTCCCACCTGGACACGGACCGCACTGCTTTCGCATACACGGCCAAGCGCATCACTTTGTAGGAGCAGCCCGTCCTATCAGCGAAGCAACTACTAAATATTGTCACAGAGACAAATGATAAAACGGAAACTGACGGCAAATCTGATTGCTAAATCGTAATCACTGACGAATACTACCCTAATCTAAATGAATCGAAACGGAAATCAATCACTGGAAAACACTCGAAAAGTCCCAGATCCCGACTTTCTAAACAAAGGAAACCTTTATTCAAAAAGCGAGAAACAAGACTAAAAATCCTCCGTTCCGGCGAAGCCTCACAACCCGCAAATACAGCACTAACGAGCAGGAATGAACAGAAATGAACTACGGCTGGAAAGAACCAATCATCGCTAAACAATGGTAAAGCGCAACCCATGTTACACGTCCCCCCGGGACGAAAAGGCTGGACCCCAGCCGCACAAAGAAAAGTAACAGAATAACAAAACTATAATGATACGTATTCATGTTGCGAAAATTTCAAAAAAAAATAACTAGGCATCGCGCACTTAAAAACACAGTCGTCAGTGAGAGACAATAACACCTATTTCGGATCCTCCGCGCCAAGGCCCTCTTTCTCTGCATCTTCCGATGTTCCCGACATCTCGGCGTCGCCAATGTTATGGGCTTCTTCACCCTGCGCGTCGACCAACATTTCTTCTGACCCAAAATCGCCTCGCTGCTTTTCGGCTTTTCGTCGGCGCTCCGCGGTTTCAAGCCGGATGTCGTCTAGCGGACGATTTCGCAGGACCAGCGGAATATAACAATCGTAGTCTACATCCACATACACGGAGGTGCTGTCGTCTGGCTTTGACGGGTTCGGAAAAGTATAAGAAAAACCAAACCCGTCCCACTGCTCATAGTATACCGGAGATGGCTTTACTTGGGTATTGGTCGGAATGGGAAACCGCTGCTGCGCCGCAATCTCTACGGCAGTGTGGCAGCCAGCCGGAACTGGCAGTTGCAAAATCATTCGAGCCATCAGCGGCGCAAACCCTGCGACAATCTTGATACGGCGAGCCAGTGCCAGATACTTCTCGGCATTGCCGGTGACGAACGCATGATGGATTCGTACCCATTCGCGAAGAGAGGAGTCGGCTGGGAGTGAACGGCTGCCGTTATAGTGGAACGGATAGCCATTGTACTGGTGCTCCAGCAGCGTCGGTGGTCCGATATACCAGCGAACTACGCAGGGGTCTCCGGGGACGAGTGGAAATCGTTGGAGCTCTTCGTTCTCTTCGTCGGTGAGAGTCGGCTCGCTAAGGAAGTCCCAGTAGGCATCCATCCGCATATCGCGCAGGAGCCACGGCATTGGTGGACCGCGTCCTTCTTGTGGCTGCGCTGACGAGTTGACGGCGGCCGTTGTGGTTACACCTCCCGGCTGAGCTGACAAGTTAGCGGTGTCCGGTGGCACTACACTTTCAGGCTGATGTTGTTGCGCCGGCTGTGCACCAGCTGCTTTGTAGACGGCTGACAACTGTTGGGAAGGCGTTGGCAACAGACTTAGGGCATCCGGGCGCGGGAGCAGGCCACCCGCCCCGGTTGGAGTTACGCCGTAGGACTGCGCAGCTGCTGGCGGCTTGCATGCCGGTTGGGGCGGCGGGGAATTTTTCTCGTTGCCTTCCCGCTTCAACATGATGGCCAACCCACGCTGGTACACGTTAGGCATAGTGCGGAAGCCCTCAAACTCCATCAATGTGCTCACATGCGGCAGTGGCAGCAAGCCAGGACGCGTGGTGCCGTGCTGTAACAAAACAACTAGAGCAGCGTCTGACGCAGTTATGCGACGCCCCGCGAAAGTCGAAGCTGATCTATTTCGGTAAAACCTATATAGCAGCGGAGTGCCTAGCGCCGCCCGGGCGAACCACATCGCTCAACGCGTAGCACGTTTAATACCATGTGCAGCTATCAGTCTTTCGCATTTACTGCGCACGTCATCGTAAAAATTTGAGATCAAGACAGTTCGAAAAGAATCCGCACTGTTTGGCGCTAATTGAGCACTGGCCAGATGCATGACGCAGTTTGCGCAAAGTACGCCGGAACACGCGGCAGGCAGCCGGTGCTGCATTAAAGCTGACACTATTGAGCGATATAAAAATAAAATTCTACATACCAAAAAGGAAGTATTATCTACCGTTGCTTGCCGCATAAATGCGCAATAAACGTTCAGAAAAACGTGACAACGGAACACGATAATCCAATGTTAGGTCAGTGAGTCACAAATACCTCATCACGCTGAAACAGCGACTCGAAGCGTGCATCAAGTCGTAGATTACGCGCTTCTTCACGGATCATGGGAAATGCCGCGGCACAATCGTCCACAAATGTCTGCAGAGCCTTATCGGCATACACGTAGTGCTCAGCCAAACGCTGGAATCCCGCAGGAATATTGGATGCAGCGGCAATTATCGCGTAGCGCGTGCCTTCGTCTGAGACGGTTTCCAGCGCACGGAAAAACACCTGGTCGAACTGCGTATGGGTGCAGATGTCAGTCACCAGTTGACCCGAAAACTGGAATCGAACGTGTATTGCTGCTCGGCACGCAGCGCACGGATAAATAGTCGAATTATTTCGCGACCCCATCACGCTAACCAGGTCACTCACAGTGAATATGTATCTACGATAGATTCAAAACAAGAATATATCATAAATTAACGTTCAACTAACGAATGCTACCAACTTAGCAGGACAGCTGAGATTCGTGCAAGCACGGCAAAATATAACGAACCCCATGGCCAAAATATCACTGCGTTGTGTGCTCTCCACGATGATCTCGCGTGATGAGCCGTCTGGAACGCAAATTATACCGCTCTTGCCTATCGCAACGTTCCCGCTTAGCTACGTCTGAGTCACTGTCAGCAACTTCCCAATCTTCTGACTGAGATTTCTCTTGTTGTGTCTCAACTGTCTTATCAGTACTCCTCTGAATGTACGGTTGAATGCGCTTAACATTCACTGCATCCGGCTTAGCACGCCGCCGGGTTTTAAACATCGGCTTTAGTAGATACACGTTATCACTGCATTTGGTTACAACTTCATAGGGAAATTTGTACTTTGGTGTTAACTTAGTATTGATTCCAACTTCACGTGAATAGTTTCGAACTTTCACTAACTGTCCCGGTTCAAATGACACTGCTTTTCGGTGTTCGTCTATACGCGAGGCATCTCGGCTTTGCTGTAATTCTATTCTAGATTTCGCAAGATCGTACGATCGTGACATCCGGTCAGCTAGCTGCTGTACATAATCGGGATAACCCGCGTACCGTGATGGTTCACACGTATTAAAAATTGTGTCGAAAGGAAAGTTAGCTTCTCGACCAAAAAGCAAGTAAAACGGTGTGAATCGAGTGGTTGTTTGTTCAACCGCATTATGCGCAAATACCACCGACGTCACGTACAAATCCCAGTCTTTTTGATTGTCGCTCGTAAACATCGAAATCGCCTGCGAAATGGGACCCATCTGCCGCTCGCATAATGCGTTTCCTTGAGGGTGATACGCCGTTGTGGCGACGTGCTTTAGCCCTATAATCTCGGTAATTTTTTCGATCAGATCGTTGCGAAAATGTGTACCGCGATCAGTCAGTAACTTAAAAGGTGTACCGTAATTGAAAATAACATGTTCGACAAAGAATTCAGCTACAACTGCTGCGGTATCATTTTGAATCGGCTTTGCAATTACAAAGCGACTGAGATGGTCGATCGCCACAACTACGTATTTATTTTTACGGCTTGTAACCGGAAACGGACCGAGGATGTCCATCGCTACCGTATGAAAAGGCGCAGGTATCGGCATATGCTGCATTTCGCCTTGCGCCTTTAGTTTTGACAGTTTGCGGGCCTGACATTCGTCACAACTTTCTACGTATTCCTTTACGTACTTATGCATACCGGGCCACCAGAACCGTGGAACTATAAGGTCCCACGTTTTCTGAAATCCCATATGCGCCGTAATGGGTAAGTCATGACATGCTTTCAGAATTTCTGCTCTAAGCTGACCAGGTACCACAAAACAGCAGTGCTTGCTGGTTAAATACCGCTTGTAGCGATAAAGAACGCCATGTTTAATACAGTAGTCTGCCTTATACCAGCGGTTATTCACAGACTTATCGTTTGCCATGTCCTCAATAATGGTCCGAAGCCGTCCGTCTTTTGCCTGTTCTATCCGGAGATACTCGTAGTTCTGTAAATCCACCTCAGAGTCGTCTAGACATGTGCTAGCAGCCACTGCTGTAAGATGTACACTCTGGCAGTTAACTAAGCCCATGCTGTGGGATACAGGAGGAAGATCGATTTCTTCTTCTTGCGCTGCTGTATCGACCGGAAAGCGACTTAAACAGTCGACGTTGCCGTGTAAACACGCTTTCCTGTACTCTACAGTCATGTCAAGTGCACTTAACCACAAAGCCCATCGCACGCATCGCGGGTTAGTACCGCGTGTTTTTAACAACGATACCAGAGCCTGATGGTCAGTTCTCACCGTGAAACTTGTAAACTCAGTTGTAATGCCTAAACTTAGTGACAGCGAAGACTACCGCTAAACATTCTTTCTCTGTAATCGGGTAGTTACGTTCATGGTTTGATAATGTACGACTAGCGCATGCTACAATGTGTCCATCCTGCGACAATATAGCGCCTACCCCGTGCCCACAAGCATCACATTCGATGACAGTCGGTCGACTTGGGTCGAAGCGTGCTAGCACCGGTGCAGTGGACAGAGCGTTTTTCAACGTAGCGAAACTTTGATCATGTACTGTATTCCATCCCGTCTTAACATCGATATCTTTTCGCGTTAACGCGTACAATGGATCCGCAATATGCGAGAAACCTTTTATAAATTTCCTGTAATAGCTAGCTAAACCTAGGAAAGACTTAATATCGGTTGCGGACTTTGGAACCGGAAAACGCTCAATTGCGGCAATCTTTTCTGGGTCCGTGCGTATACCGTGACAATCGATAATGTGCCCTAAAAACTTCGTCTCGTTGTAAGCAAACGAACATTTAGCTGGCTGAATTGTTAATCCGGCGGTGCCGATAGCTTGCAAAACGGTTTCCAACCGTTCAGCGTGCTCCTCAAAACTGTTAGCAAATATAATAATGTCATCTATGTACACAAGACACATGGTCCATTTCAGTGCACCTAGTATAGTGTCCATTGTAAGCTGAAACGTTGCAGGGGCGTTGCACAGCCCGAACGGCATACGAAGAAATTCGTACAGGCCGTCCTGGGTTGTGAACGCAGTTTTCGGCTGATCTTCGAGAGCGACCGGTATCTGCCAGAACCCTGAATAACAGTCGATGCTACTGTACCAACTGCTATTCCCTACGGCCTCCAAAAGATCCTCTGGTAACGGCAATGGGTATACGTTCTTGCGTGTCAGCGAGTTAAGCTGCTTAAAGTCTATGCAGAACCGTACACCTCTACCACCCGGTTTTTGTACAATGACGACTGGTGAACTCCAGGGCGAACGCGATTTCTTTATTATGCCTTTTTCCAACATTTTGTCGACCTCGTCCTGTATAAGTTTTCTGCCATGCCACGAGGTACGCCGCGGAGCGGATTTGAACGGCTTAGAATCGCCAGTGTCGATTGTATGCGCATTAAAGTCCGTCTGACCGTATGGTCTACGCTTCGTGGGAAACAGGCCACGCTGTGACCGCAGTATTCGCAATATGCGCTCTCGCTGTTCAGCGTTCAGGAAGGGACTAATGTTTACGGTTTTCAGTGCTTCCTCAAACTCTGCATTTTCCTCATCTGTAAACGCACATACTTCTTCCGTGCAGCACGTCAGGTCAAGATCTTCTTCATATGGCTCGATAGTGCCTACAAGCGCACCTTTGCGAATAACACGTGGATTGTCGTTAGGATTCATTACGAACAAACTAACCTCGTTGTCAAGCACGGTAACAACAGAATTTGGTATCGCTACCATTAAATTAGCCGACAATACATTATTTTGAAAAAACACGCTGCGCTGCTTCTTTATCTTTACCCGAGGTTTCGCTTGAAATAGTACGGCGCTACGCGGCGGGATTGTTACTGCGCGTGTTGCGTACGTACAAACTGGCCTTCGCTGCACTGCATCCTCTGCGCCATTGGCGTCCGTGTTTAGTGGAAGTTCCTCAACTATATCAGTTACCCAGCCCGACGCCTTTTCGACGATCTCCGCGGTAAACGCGACATGTTTCTGCTGAAGGTTTGTTGCAGGGAAAGGCTGCTGCTGTCGTTTAAAAGAACTCATAGTCACCGTAGCCTGCAGACTGTTCACCAATGAAAGTGCCTCGATAGCGTTGCGCGTAATTGCGGCTTCAGCCGAATTAAGACAACCATTCCAGTGAATGACGGCGTACTTAATGTTCTCGTGGGGCGGGATGACCATAATCTTATATCCTTGTAAGTATGGGCAAGCATACACTTCAGTTAAAAACTGGGAAATTGCAACGGGCGAAAGACTGCACTTGTCGTCCCATTGAATGTCCACCCACTGAATCGTCTGTTCTACGCCATCATTCGGCAGTATGTTAGCTTTCAACAGATCTACACATTTAGGTTTCCGTATAAAGAAATCCATTCCCAATAAAAACTGCTGCTGAATATCCGCGACAAATACGGCGTGAGCATACGTTGCGTTCAAAAAGTTAACATTTACTACAGTGTACAATGTTAGTGGCTGCACTTTACCCGTAATGCCACGCATATACAGCGGACTGCCGCTTCGTATCAAATCCTTATATACTATTCCTTGTTGATCACAAAACGCTCTGGAAATTAGCGAAAAATCTGAACCAGTGTCTATAAGCGCAGGAACATCGTACCCGTTAACTGAAACGTTAAACCGAAAGTGCTTAGCTATGATGGGGATATCAGTTTCAAGCCGTTCAACTGCACTCACTGTCGCCGGAAGTTCCGTGCTAACAGCAGCAGCATTACCTGAATCGCTGAGCTCCTGAAGCTCCTTGTAACATGTACCTCCCGGCACCACATTATAGCTAGCGTCCTTTTCGCTAAGAGGTAACTCGAGCATACCGACAGCTACACCTCCCACTACTGCCGGCTCCCGTTTTTTGGCGGCTCCGCACTCGGTGAGCGGCTGCCCGCATTATTTGCGTTATCGCGCAATGACTCTCGCCGCTGGCGACGTTGAACCCTCGCACAGCCTGGGTCGACACCATTTACAGCTAGGGCTGACCTGTCCAGCAAGTTATTTCTCGGTGTGGCGACCGACAGTTGGCTTCCTCGGCTGCTGTTCGGTTTCTGCGAACGAAATCAAGTCGCCTGTCGACCGTTCTGAGAACGAACTGCGCTATGGCGATTTCGATTGAAACTGTCACTAGCTCTGACCATGGCATCTCTCCACAAGTTATGTTGCACTCGGTGTTAGTCGGTGGGCGACCGACTACCAGTCACCAATTCAGTTGGCTTCCTCGGCTGCTGTTCGGTTTCTGCGAACGAAATCAAGTCGCCTGTCGACCGTTCTGAGAACGAACTGCGCCTATGGCGATTTCGATTGAAACTGTCACTAATATGCAGCTGAGACTGAATGCCCATGGCAGCATCGCTGGTTTTCTGCGCAAGAATGCGACTGCAGTTTCGTGCTTGCAGAAGGAAGTTCGCTGGCGTCAGCGGCATGTTAGTCGCCACTAACGTATACAATTCGGGCAGCGTACGCAGACCATTAACCAGGTAATTAACCTGCATTACCGGAATAAACACACATCCGCAGTCCGCGATTAAATCCATTACCGCTTGATAATAATCATCAATACTCTCTTTTTGCGGTTTATAATACCGAGAAGATAGATCTTGAGAAGCGACTAGCTCACGATCATGCTCATAAAACTTTTCCATCAGTTTGATTTTCCATTCTGAGAACGAAAGGCGTCCTACGTACTGTTTACGCACATTGTCGTAAAAATCTCCGGCTCTCCCTTTTAAAGCTTGCACTAAACCAGCAACCATAAAATCATCAGACCACCCGTTAATAAACGCAATCTCCTCATACCGAGCTATAAAGTTTTCTACTCGTTCTGTCTTATCCCCTTTGAACTCTGGGATTTTAACAATTTTCTGGGAAGGCGCCTGCATGAACATGTAAGGATTATATGCGGCAGTGCCGGAAGTCGCATTGAGCTGCGCTGAAGTGGTAGTGTTGAGGCCAGAGTGCGAGACGCGGTGTGATGGCGAGTTTAACTCGGGCTTTTCACTTCGTACACCGGAACTGTTATTACGTCTGCTGATACCCGCGTGATCATCGTCTACTGACGCGGTCTCGTCATCGCGTGAGCTAAAAAACCTGTCTGATCTGCCGGGAGAATTTAATTGCCAGCTGACCTTTCTGGCATCTCCACGGTTGCTCTCAGAATACCGGTCACACTCCATGTTGTCTTCGTGCGCGAATCGCGAGCGGGTTGGTTCGCTCCTAACTGCGGAAAAACGAACATCCTGGGAAACAAAATCAGCCGAATGAGTGGCCCCGAACGAACGGTTATCCACACCACCAAAAACATTAGGATGCTGTGTAAACATGCGTGCTTTCGCACGATCCTGCGTTTGAGAAACGTTGCTGTGGATGTTAGGCCGTTCTCTGTATGGTAAGTCGAACGGCTGCGCGCCGAATTGTGACGTCACACGCTCTGGGCTGTGGAGCATGGACTGCTGCCGCCTTGGTGACGTCACGACATCATGCTGCTCCGCTCGACTGTGAGGGACGTGTGCAACCGGCGCAGCCGAGCCAGGCACGCGCGAGGAAGACAGAAGCAAATCCCCCGGTGCCGCAATTAAACTGCCTAATTTCACTGTATCCTTTTTCCGGTCTTCATCGCGGTTTAAATTCAAATTCTTAAACTTGTCCTCAACCAATTTCTCGAAGTGCGACTCAAATTCACGACTGAATTCGGAAGCAAACGCCTGCAAGGCGGCTTTGAGATCAGAAGCCCTGAGGAACTCATCGGTTCTTCCTGTAGTTTCTACTCTCTCTTCGACATGGTCGTCTGAATTTTCGCTTCTATGCGTTCCCTGACCGTCTTTAGACATTCTCAACAGATTCTCGAAGTACCGACTTGGCGGACGGCTCAGTAGAAAAAAACTACTCTGCCGGCGTATGCCGCTGTGCTTACCTGTTGCACACCGAACGAAATCGATCGGCCGACTCCGCGCCGAGCGTCCGTGCGAATTCCGTCTCCACTGACTAGAAAAAGGGAGCGGGGTCCTCCGTCCTACTGAACGGCTTGGCGTCAAAATTCAACAGCCCGATGCTGTTCACATCCGAAAATGGGTGATCGATTACAGGAGCGCCACTTTGTCACAGAGACAAATGATAAAACGGAAACTGACGGCAAATCTGACTGCTAAATCGTAATCACTGACGAATACTACCCCTAATCTAAATGAATCGAAACGGAAATCAATCACTGGAAAACACTCGAAAAGTCCCAGATCCCGACTTTCTGAACAAAGGAAACCTTTATTCAAAAAGCGAGAAACAAGACTAAAAATCCTCCGTTCCGGCGAAGCCGCACAACCCGCAAATACAGCACTAACGAGCAGGAATGAACAGAAATGAACTACGGCTGGAAAGAACCAATCATCGCTAAACAATGGTAAAGCGCAACCCATGTTACAATATGCAAGCCTCTATTTCATTGATTCAGATGAAGTTGTAAGACTTTACACGTGGTGGATACTGTGTAATTGCTAACTGCGGGATAACGTTTATCCGTGCAGGGAGATGGGACAATAAAGATCGATCAATAATTACGTTGTGTAACTATCCTATCTTCAGTGTACCTTTTACATTAAGACAGCGCGGCGACAGCGGTGGTTTTTTGTAAGCTTTACATACAACACAACAACAAGAAAGTTTCGATTATGTTAAACTCACATCCAAAGCAAAACTTGAGAAAAACACTACTAACTTCACAACTGAGAAAAGCATTAGACTTCTAAGAGAAAATCCACGAGTCTACACACAGGATAAAATGAAAAGTCATAAAATGCCAACACTTGCACAAACACACCCAGTTTCCTTTAAGACGGTAGTAACTCATGTACAGAGTACATATACAACATGCACACTAAGTGACGGTTAATGACACAGTTCTCACATCGGCACTTAGGCCTAATTAGATAACAGAATATGCATGCGGATATGCGGATATGTGGGATAGCGCTCTTGAAGACGTAATCGATGCGGTGCACATAAGTAACTTATTTCGTCATATAGGTGATGTTTACCGCGGGAGTGAAGGGCCACCTGCTGAAATGCGTGACATATCCTTGGTGTTTTTGAAAGCGAATGCCGACGATCCACTACGGTATAATGACCCTCGCTCTGGCGAAGTTGCTGCAGTTTTTGTGTCTCCAGACGGCGAACCTCCTGTCCATCGAGACATCATTGTGTATTCAAAACAGGAACGCCCATCTCGGATCTCACCACTTAGTCCGCATTGTGACCTGATGGTTTATCCGTTACTGTTCCCCGCAGGTGAATTCGGCTGGCACCCAGATTGAAGACACGATTGCATAGTACAGCAAGGCGAACGCGCGTTACACAGTTGCAGTTTTGCTCTTACCGGCTGGCTGTCCGCTCCGGGTTTAGCGCACTACATGCATCGGGAAGTCTCTTTCTTCAATATATCGTTGATGTGTACGTTAAAGTGGAAGCGAATCGTTTGCAGTTCATTCGGTTGAACCAGAAGCATCTACGCGCAGAATCTTATGCCGGTTTGTTGGACCATATAAACAGCGTTGCCGCTTATAATAACGTCGCAGCGGGCAAGGTTGTAATTCTGCCGTCTACGTTTATCGGAAGCCCACGAAATATGCATCAGAATTATCAAGACGCGATGTCCATCGTACGACGCTATGGAAAACCGGATCTTTATGTTACATTTACAGGCAACCTTAAATGGCCGGAGATTAAAAACATCCTTCGGAACTGCGAGACAGCGGAATTCCGGCCAGACTTAGTTGCAAAGTGAGCTTAAACTGTAACATCAGTAGAAACCGCAATAATTTTTGTGTTCAGTGTTAACTGAATCGCGAATAAAAAAAATGCGAATTATAATTATGCAGAGCCCGCTAATGACTAATCAATCTGCATCATTAATTAATTACTATAACTTAAGGGATTAGACCCGGTACATAGCATTAAGACGAGAGGTACCCAACATATGGTTAAATTAGTACACCCCTCGTGCTACATATTGTTGGAAAGAGCGTTTCTTGATCTACAACCCGACATCAGTAATGTTCATTAAAATTTTAAACTGAAAGAGTTATTTTGACGTTAAAAACAGTACAACAGAAAGTTGCCAAAAGCGCTCCGTTACAGCCTTACACTTACAGCTGCCTGTCGGTCAGTCCGGGCAGTGATCAGGCCTGCTAGCGCACCTGAACTCACGCGTCTTCCTGAACTTATCTCTCTCTCCGCTCACAAAAATTAGTAGACCATAAAACTGATAGTAATGCTGAGAAATAAATGCCACCGCAGGAGTTGAACCAAGATTAAACCTTGAGTGCACTGGCATTTCAAAGCAGGAGTCGAAGTTTTTAAAAGAAAGCAATTATGGCTATGCTTATATTCAAGTGGCTTATTCACATTTTATTACATTAACAAAATACGCGATTTATAGTTCAAAACATCCATTTCATGCCTTAGTAGCTCGTCAATAATACCAAGCAAAACTTAACAACGAAACGATTCGTGATCAATTAAAAATATCAAATGATTCGCGATCTCCTATCTTGAACAGGAAAGACTGCACGGATGTAATATATTTTATATATTCACCCGTTTAGGACGATACATCGCCTTATGATAAATCTTGATGTCGACTATCCGTTGCTGGGAGGGTTTTCAAAAATTCGAAAAAAACGCTGTGGAACTATCAAAAACAAAATTTTAAACCAAAATTCCGTACGAACGCGACGTCATATCGAGATAAAAATTAGTGCAACGGATAGCGCGAGCAATTGTCTTCCTGTTCACTTTGATGCCGACAATGTACACTATAACAGGAATATCTTCTTGGACTTGATAAATTAGAAACCACTATCGCGTCAAAGTCCAGTACAACAGGTAAATGACCATTGAAGCTACGCAGAGAGCATTCTGTCTGCCAGCCTGCCGGCACCCATTCGGTCAGGCGGTCAACCCACGAAGACTGCTTGACCACACAGCCGATTGCATACAAACCGGGCCATGCGGCGAAAAGCATATACCGTGTATCCTGCTCGAATCTATTCATCTCTTTTCAGTCTTTTCCGAACTACGATAGCGAATAGACCGAAGCAAATTGCAGAGTGCACTGCAGACCCTCAGGTTGTCATCAGCACGGATGAGTTTATAGTGAATATTTTTACCGGGGTTGAAGCAAAAAATTAATTTCCTCATTATTTTGTTAATGACCGCACAAAACTTCATAAAAAAATTCTCAGATGTTAGCACAACATCTTGGTGGCATACGGCAATAGTCAAGTTAACCGCACATTAACCACCGAGTGCACACTAAAAATTAGCGCAAGGGGACCATATGTTGGGTACCCCTCGTCTTAACAAGTTTCTTCATCAGTAATAACACCTCTAACATTTAAGTGACTGAACGGTTACTTTTACTGCAGGTTTTTCAAGTTAAAATTGGGCGAATTGATGAAGGACATTTTGAAAAAGCGTATATTCGGAACAATTGCGGCTTATGCGTACGTGATCGAATTTCAAAAGCGGGGTCTACCGCATGCGCACATATTGCTGATTTTGGCTGCTGATTCCAAGATACGTGAACTGGATGACATTGACAGAATAGTCTGTGCCGAGTTTCCTGGTTCTGTTACTCATCCACGACTGTTTGAAACTATACGATCAACAATGGTGCATGGGCCATGCGGCGCTGTAAATCCCGCTTCTCCGTGTATGCAGGATGGCAAGTGCGCTAAAGGATTTCCTAAAGATTTCTCCCCTGTTACGAAAGAAAACGTTCCTGGATACCATGTTTACCAACGATGGGACGACGGAAGAACTGTAATCGTTAAGAAAGTGCCAGTTACCAATCAGTGACTGTACCTTATAATAAATATCTATCGTGCAAATTTAATGCGCATATTAATGTCGAAGTCTGCACCAGCGTTAAGTCGGTCAAGTACTTATTCAAGTACGTGTACAAAGGTTATGACTGCGCTAATGTGCAAATTACTCAGCAACTATATCCATTATATATCCACTATATTATATCCAACTGACAACAGCGGTACGGTTATTTGGAACGAAATTGACACGCATCTAAACGCCCGTTACGTGAGCGCTCCAGAAGGGATGTGGAGATTTAATGAAAATGAAATGCATCGGCAGTCACACACAATTGAGCGCTTGGCTGTGCATCTGCCGGACATGCAGAATGTGCGAGGAAGGGAACGAAGTGACGGCAGCAGCCCACGCTGCCACCTCGTACTCTACGCTCACCGCCTATTTTCAGCTGAACAGAGAGGAACCAGCGGCAAGGGAAATGTACTACACGGACATCCCGGAGCACTTCGTTTGGGTAAAGCGTGAAAAGAAATGGAAACGACGCCAGCGGGGATTCGATACCGTAATTGGCCGGATGTACGCAATATCGCCGTCAGATCGCGAAAGGTATTTTTTTTACGTTTACTGCTGTTGCATATAAAAGGTATGTACAGCACATATAGCTGCGTTAGAATGTTCAGAACCGGTAATGATGTAATTGCACAATGTTCAAGGAAAGTGACCCTTTAAATTGCACTAAATTTGTGTACAACATGTGTTTAGTGAACTTACATCTATACGCAAAAACTTTCTATTCGCGCACTCCCAAACACTTTCTTGCATCGTTTTACTTTACCGTTATTTCATTTTACAACTAAGTTTGTTGTTTTTGGCTACGTGCTACATTTATACATTTAGGTACATAAGTTTGCTTAACAAAATTATGCAAATACACCAAATAAAAAATACGAGCAACTTCAAAATAGGTTTATAATAACTTTTACGTCAAGTATTTGGTGCATCTCAGCATTTTCACCAATTTCTTTATTTTCGTAGGCGCCACATCATTTGATGCGTTACGAACCGTCAACGGCATTGTGCAGGGCAGCTTCCAGGAAGCAGCAAAGGTTTTTTGGTTGCTCGACGACGATTCCGAGTGGAATGCTTGCTTATTGGAGGCAAGTGTGTCCAGCATGCCAAAACCATTGATAGAAATGTTTGCTTATATCTGCGCATTCTGTGTTCCGGGTGACCCTAACGAATTATTTGAAGCGCATAAGGACAGCCTAACTGAAGACTACCGCCGCCGCTTTTCTGATCAAGAAAGCACCAGCAGGGCGTTATGGGATATCGAGTGTGTGCTTCAACAACACGGACTCAGCTGTAAGAAGTTAGGACTGCCACATCCGACCCGCCCAACAGATGCCG